TTTTTTTTCACTTCTCATGATAGGAGGCCCTTAGCTGCATCTTAGATGGCTACTTGAAAGCTTTTAAGACCCCAGTCACTACTCACCAATGTAGGATGAGAAACAAAGCTTTTATGTATTTTGCTGTGCCAATTGAGTCTGGTGTCCTGATCCCGGGACTTTCAATGGACTTGAGTCAATGGCTTGCCGTGTGGTTTGGTAACATTGGCACTGTGCCATTTTATTTGTCGACCTTGCGCTTGTTGGCCTCAGCAGCCACTAGCTGCCTGAGTGAAGAGATGCCTCTAGCTTCAGTGGGCTAGGAGCAAGTGGCAGAGCTGAAGCCCAAAAGGTTGAGGGGCTTTCACCCAGCCCCTAGAGCCTGGCGCTTTGAACTCAGACTTGTAGCCTCCCAAACTGTAAGAGAATAAACTCCTGTTTGTCAAGCCATCCCATTTGTGGTGTTTCTGTTGGAGCGGCACTAGGGAACCAGAACAGCTTGGGAATGAGTTGGGAAGGCAGGACCCTGCTTAGCTCCTGATATCAGTGATTTCCAGACGTTTTGATAAAAAGTGGCCCAAAAAGAAAATTAGAGATGTTGTAGGATTGCTAACTTTCCATTATCTAGGAAAGAATATCAATATATAGAAAAAAATGACCACAATTTTATAATAGAAAGGTTATTTAATTATAAATAGTAGGAAGGATCTAATCAGAAACCCACAGCAAGCCCACTGTGATGGTGGTGACTCCTGTCCATGGTGACCTCATGGTACAGAGCAGGACTGAGCTCCACAGGGTTCTTGGAGCTGGAATCTTGATGGACAGACATTGCCAGGCCTTTCTTCTGTTGCATCGCTGGAAGGGTTTGAATCCCCAGCCACTCTATGGGAGAAAGATGTGGCAATCTGCTTCCATAAGATTATAGCCCTGGAAACCCTCTGGGGCTACTTCTACTCTGTCCTCTAGGGGCGCTGTGAGTCAGGAACGACGCGACAACCATGGGTAACATGCGTCACACTCACCCAGCCCCTGTACCAAGCTACCTGCCATTGAGTGGATTCGACTCAT